CAGATAAAATGTATAATACGCCATCTGTACCCGTAACTGCCGTAAACAAAATTGTTTTAAGCACCACTATGTAATATATATTCTGCCATATGAAATGACTAACACGGCTTCAAGGCTCTGATATCTGAAAGTAAAATTGACTTATTTGCTAGAAGTAAACTTGTTAGGTGTGTTATACGACAGATAACATATTTTTGTATTAAAATTTGGAGCATAAGACACAGTTGCTTTCAAAACCATCCTAAAAATAAAATGTTTAATACGCCAAAAAAGTAGTTCAAACAGCCTAAATTCCATTTGTACATACATAGAAAAATTCACTGAATCTTATCGTGTATAAAGTCTATTTTGCAAAAAGTGGCGTATTATACATTTTACCTTTCAAGCGTCGATATATATATATGTATATATATAAATGGATTTAAATGGATTTTTATCTGAGTTTGTTGTTCATGAATTTCATGAAGCCATCACAATGTGGGTCGACTCTGAAATAAAAGAGAGAAAAAGATTAGTAAATTGTTAAATAAATTAATTTTGACTTACCTGGTATAGTGTTAATAATTTCTGAATAGTATAGTTGCCTAGTGTATAGGTGAATCGTCTAAACCTTAAAAAAAAGAAGAAGAATTCTTAAAAAATATTTAAACATAGAAATTTTAAAAAATAAATGAAGGAAATTTATTTAAAGTGTCAAGCAAGTCTGTGGGAGCTAAATTAATAGGGGTTTTGTTAAATAAGAAATTACAATGATGTGGAGATGAAAAGAATAAATTGTATTAATAGAATAAGTTTTATATCTGAACATTTTTTTTATATTCCCAAATTAGATGTGATTAAAGTGATTATGAGAAATTAATGTGGCTTGACAAATGTGTCAGAACAGGACAGTTTTATGGTTTAAATAAATTTTAAATAGAAGACGAAAAAAAGAAAAAAGAACGTTGGTTGCGGTTAGCAACGGAGAAATTATTTTGGAGATGCCGACGCTAATTTTAGACTCTCTTGCCCCGAAACTGTGGAATAGGCCGGGAGTGTTTTCAACTCGTCTGATTTAAATTTAGTTTTTCCACAGTTTCCAGTGTTTTGGAAGAGCAGAGATATCCAGAATTTGTTCCAGAGAGTAAGAGAAACAATTTGAGTTATAAATTATTATTGGAGTACAGAAATTTCATTGAGATTGAGAAAATTAAAATTCATGAATTAACAGAATTGCGATAGGCCTTATAAATTGAAAAATATTAATGATCATTAAATTAAAACTAGAGTAGTACGTACCTTAAATTCCGAAGAGAGGATTGATATTCCAGTTTCACCGATTATTTTGCGAGAAGTTAGTTTTCTTTAAAGAAATCAGAACTGTTTTAAAGTGAGGTTGGATAATAATTTAGGGGATCATTTGTAATTTTGATTATATTTGAATGCAAGTTGAAAGTCAGCGGAATAAAGTGTTCAGTTTCTTTTTCTTTATAGTTCATTTAAACACTTTATAAAGTTGCAATATTTATTTAGATTTCAGGTACTTGTAGAAAGTCTCCACATTTTGTAATCGATTTTTATTGTCACGACACTAAACCATATTAAGGTTTACACGATTCCTATTTTTGTAAATTTTAAAGGCAACCCAAGTTGCAAACGAATTTTATTGTTCAAAATAAATTTGTTCAATATTAATAAATAACGTGCTTCATTTGGGTTAATTTATCAAAAGTCTAAAGTAAATTTTGGTTTAATTTCTGTTTGAACTCTACCAGGAGACTACAGAGTCGACGTCACACAGTGACAGATTGCTAAGAACACATAATTGAGCTAGCCGAGGTATATTAAATTAAACAACGAACCACATACTTTAAAAATACAACATTTATTATCAATAAAAATAAAATTAATAAAAACATAACCTTTTCAAATATATATATATATATATATATATATATATATATATTACTATATATATATATTATTGCTCTATTAGTTGTTGCTCTGCACATCACTGAGTCTTATAACATTATTGCTTCAAATTAGTCACATTGCTCCTGTAGTCTCTCTCTGTAATCTCTCTCATTAGATGCTATGTATTTTTCTACCTTATTATACGAGTAAGTAAGGCCTGGGACACTTTCGAAGCTTCCTTAGAAAACTCGAGGCATTCAAGATGTGTGTTACAGACGTATCTTAAGAATTTCATGGGTGGATCGTATGACTAATTGTTGAGGTCCTACGTAGAATAGGCAAGGAGATGCGAGATTATTAACACCATCAAAGAGCGCAAACGAGAATATCTTGGCCATGTTATGAGGAATGAACCAGAGATACGGCTCGTTGCAAGTCCATCCTTCGGACAAGGTATTTCGAAAGAGAGGACCAGGGAGAAGAAGAATATCTTGGCTTCAAAAACCTGAGGAAGGTAGTTTAATACATCGACAACCGGGACTATTCAGAATAGCAGCAAGCAAAGTTAGGATAGACCATGTTGATCGCCAACATCCCGAACGGATAGGCACCGTAAGAAGAAGAAGCTCCTGTAGTGATCCTTTTCCAAGTTAACATTCTCTTCTGCATCGTACTGATGACGACCAAATAGTTAAAAATACGTATTTATGGTTATCTTCCATCTTCTTATATACATTTTTAATGTATATACATTAATAAGGTATAGTTGGTTCATTCATCTTAGTTCTATCTGACGTGATATAGATTCTTATTATGCAGTTTCTACCTGTGTGCTACATTTAAGCATCGATCTTTTCTTTTTGTTTGCACGGTGCAATAAGTGAAAAGAATAATAATATAATATGAATACAGTTATTGACCAATACGGTTATTGACAAATAGCATTTGGACAAGAATTGCAAATAATTTTGCAAATGTTTTCCTATATTTTACATTTTAGGTCTACAAGGTCAAGTATTATTTAAATAAATCTTTGGCAATTTTAGCAATATAAATATACTTACCCATATTACTACAGCTTCGTCAGTTCCCCAATTTCGTTATTGACAGCCTCGTTATGTTTCTGCTTTATTCTGGTATTACTTGATTACCTATTCGAGCGTTTAAAATCCCCCAATATTATCATCTTCCCTCTGACTTGATCTATTACTTATTGTAATTGGTCATAAAACGCTTCCCTTGCTATTTGAGGCCTGTTATTTTCTGGGCCGTATACTTTCATGATGTTCAAGTCTTTCTGCTCCATTTTTATCTTTACTTTTACTATTTTTTCTGATATGTATTGACACTCTTTGATGTGATTCTGGTACCTTTGGTTTATTAGTAAGGCTACACCTTCTTTGGCCTGTTTTCTTTCGCTGTTTTGCACATATCTTCATTCAAGTTCGACGATTCAACACCATATAAAAGAAAAGAGAAGACGTAGCATCGCAGCATTCTTACATTTGTATCAAGATGAGAGGTTGTGACTCTTGAAACAAGGCCCCCATCCGATTGAAGGTGTGAACCTAGCTTTTGCGATGCGTGACCTAATCTCCTGATTGTTGTTTATTCTTCTTTCTTAGTACTTGAGTTATTTCTTGATCCCTTGGGTTGAGCGATCTGATATTACAAGTAGTAGTTCTCATCTGGGTTTTGGATATTTTTCGTTTGTCCTTATTTCTTACATTGTTTCTGTGAGCAGTATTTGTTTTTACGATAGGTAGATTGCTAACCTTGCCAATCACTCTTCACATTTTATTCGGGTTTGAAACTGGCTATCTTAACCCCAGAGCTTGTCAATCCACCCCGCAATCACCTCAGACAGTACAAAACAGTCATCAGACCAATAATGACATACGCTGCAGAAACAAGACTTGACACAGAGAGGACAAAAAGGATGTAGAATAATCATATAAGTCAATGACAACAAATAGAGTAGTAAGGATGGCAAGGGATGGTTCTCCAATAGAAACGATCCGAATCCACGAAACGTGGAATGACAACTTACTGGAGGCACATGAAAGAAGAGAGTCATGTCTAATTATAGTTTTTCGTCTTCCGGTTGGACGTGTCATTTGATGACCCAAAGTGGGTTATCTCGACGTTTCGTACATATTGTAGCTTCTTCGGAGAAACAAAGAAAAAGAAAAAGAAAACAAAGAACAGAAGATGGTAGTTAGCAACGGTAACTCAGTTACTCACGCAACCAGAGCGAATACTAACCCAAGATGGGCATTTGGTCACAGTAACTAACTACTCAACCAGCCAGAGGTGAAAACCAAATGCCAGGACAGGGATTCACGTCCAACAGCTCAGAACACTAACGCGTCGAGAGGCGGGGATTTCACGAGTCATGTCTGTATCAAAAGCAAATTAAGAAGAATAAGAAGATATTACCACAGCCATGGCGTGATATATTTAAAGTTTCACCTAAGAATAAATAATAGTAACACTGTAAGACTTAAAATGTATTACAAAACAAACTTTAACAACTTAAAAATAAGATTAATTTAATATCTTTAACATCACTGCGAGAACACTCCTAGTAGTTCACTGTATTCCATAATTAAACAAAAAAAGTATAAAAGCTTGACTTGTGTAGAAGGTCTCGTATTATTATATGTCTATATCAAATATTCGAAAGTGTTGTTTTATCCAACCCCAGTCAGTGAGTCTTGATCAAAACATGCGTGCAGCGACAAGAAAGTCAAGGGTTGAACATAGTATCGATGATAATTGATTAAATTGTAAGAAAACGTCTTAAAACTATACTTGAAACGAGATAATGCTGTAGGTATATTACGGGTAAAGCTTATTAAAGCCAATCCAATTTTAATTTAATATATTATGCCGATTTACGAGTACTGACAGATTTATAAAACATGGCATTTTAGACTTTTGGTATTTGGTCTTTTTTAGAATTAAATACATTAAAAATACATTTGATTAAACCGTTTACTTTATGTTTTTTAATTTTCCCATCTAAATTAATTCTGAATGTGCTATATTATAACAATAACTATTGTTAACAATTTTAAAAATGACTAATAGTTTATTTTTTTTAGACAATTCTGAGACTGAACAACCCCTTATAATTAAATCGACGTTACCAACGACTACAACGACAACCCAAGCCCCAAGAAAAACAACCCGATCTTCCTACTACACCTCACCTCCTATACCAACAGCTACTACATTGGAAAATCGTCTTGCCTCTGGAAACAGTTACCTACCGTCTACAGGAAACCAACACTCTCCTAAAAACGATCATATTCACTCGGGAAATAACAACAAAGTATCTACGGGCAATAACCAAGAATCAACTAACAAAAATCACATTACTGCAAATAATCATCACATCGCTTCTCATCATTTCCCTGTCATTAGTCCAAGTGCCACAGATATACGTTTTAATCCGGAAGAGATCAACATTAGTTTACATCCTGGAGCTCCTCCAGATATAAGGACGAAAGCGGTTTCGTACTATAGTGATAAAAAAGTGACTAATAGTGAAAATCAGTTAGTGGTTACAACGCATAGATCAGTCTATGATAATTCTAGACGGGAGTCATTGAATACCGGGTCTAGTACTCAAAGAATCGGTATAACTCTCCAACTCCAGGTGATGTCAGCGGGTTTGGGTTTACTTTCGACTCGGCTGAGTCAGCAGAGTATACGGATCCTCCTGAAAGTTATAGAATACGCACGGAGTTTAGGCCTAGTCAGGAGTATGCAGGTTAGTATCGCTAGATTCTAATTAATTAACTGTATAGTTTTAAGTATTTTTGATTATTTATATAATTTGTGAGTAATACTTTATTGCGGACTAGCAGATTTTTCTTAAAACTGTGTTACTCTCTGTCTGTCCCTATTTTTTTTCTTGAAAAAAAGAGCTAGAGTCTTGAAACTTGATAGATAGATTTTACTTTATTCAAGGAAGATTCCTTTTACATTAAGGCCAACAGATCAAAAGTTCTATTATGGGTTTTACTCTTCCAGTTGATGATTATTAAAGTTTTTGGTTCTTCTTCCAATTGCTCCATATATCTACGACTGGGTCTTTATTTTGGTCTTCTTCCTTTTGGTACCTGATTTATAATTTTATTGGCGGCTAGATCTTTCTGCGTCTATTCTGCAAAGAGGGACGGTCGATTCCATGTCTGAAGAGTGCCTTGCGGAATCGGCACGCGACAGGAGTTGAGCTGAATAATCCTTGAAAAATTTACAAAGTGTCACCATCACTTAGTGGGCAGTTAAGAGAAATCTTAAGGCTGCAACTTTGACTCCCAAATGAGCCAACACAGGACCCAAATTACACGCACGTCGAGAAACAAGCTTGACTTCTGTTTGCCTGAGAACACGTCAATTGAGACCTTGGCTAATGGAGTAAAGTTTTGTTCTTTCACGAGAGTCGAATGTGCTTGTATAACAATAACAGAAGACGATGCGTCCATCGGAGGCTTAGAGAATGATTTATCTAGTGCTGTAATGTCGAAACAGTAAGCTATCGAGGTGTTTCGTGTATATTTTGGGGGAGCTTGTGTTCGTGCACGGTGGTGGTTGTGGAGGGGGTTTGAGGATCGTTGCATTAAGGTATATTCTCCAAGACCATGTTTTTCCTTACGCTGGCTACATAGGTGACGGCTTCATGCTAATGCACGATAACGCTCGATTTCACACAGCGCAGATTACGAAAGATTACTTGGCCAACACCAATATAACAACAATGGACTGACCTCCATTGAGTCCAAAAATAAATTCCATCGAGCACCTAAGGGACGAACTTAAACGAAGTGTTCGGATCCGTAATTCAGCACCAGCGACAGTGGCGGATCTATAAACTTCATTAGATAAAAAATGGGAAGCGAATTCCAGGAATCAGTCAGAAACTTAATAAAAACTTAAGAGATCGCATGAAAAGTGTAATACACAGCTTAGAAGAGGAAATACTCTTACGTAGATTACGCTGATGATATATGCCTCCTAGCACATACAAAACAGGACATGCAACTCCAAGTAAACAAAGTACAAGAAGAATCAAAGAAGGTTGGTTTAGAAATAAACATCAACAAAACCAAAGAAATGCGATTTGGTACCAGAAACAACCAACCTATTATGATCAACAACCATAAAATTGAGGAGAGTAGCGGAATTTGTATATCTGGCAGCATAATTGACTGTAATGGGGGTACAGAGCGTGATGTACATAAAGAATAAATAAGGCTCGCAACGCCTACAACATGCTTAATAACATATGGAAATCCAGGATTTACCCAACTAAAACGAAATTAAAATCTTCAACACAAATGTAAAAGCTGTATTACTGTATGGCTGCGAAACGTGGAAGATATCAGCACCCATAGTACACCAATTACAAGTTTTCATCAATAGAGCGTTACGAAAAATCCTTCGTATATTTTGGCCTAACCGAATCTCCAATGAAAATTTATGGAACCAAAGCAACCAAGAAAATGTCATAAAGCAAATAAGGCGAAGAAAATGGAGATGGCTGGGCCACACACTCCGTAGACCGCCAAATGACATTGCCAGGACAGCGCTGGATTGGAATACCCAAGGCCGACGGAAAGTAGGCAGACCTAAGGGAACTTGGAGAAGGACAGTACTGGACGAAGGGAGAAAAATGGGAAAATGCTGGCTTGAAATCAAAGCACTAGCCAGAAATAGAGTTCGCTGGAGACACTTTGTGGAAGCCCTATGTTCCTCTTAGGAATCTTGGGACTATATTATAATGGAACAAAATAGAATGTTTACATTTCTACCAACTCTATATTTCTGCATTATACATGCAGGATTCCGCAAAGGTCTAAATTTCTTGATCGAAATAATAACTAAGACCAAATATATGCAAATACAAACCTTTTTACTCTAGCTAATGACTCTTAAGATTAAGTATATTGAGAAAGTAAGAGGCTTAGAGTATAAATCGTTGGGTAGTAGTAATAATATTACATAGATTTTAAATTGCAAATATGTCTTGCATACTTTCGCTTAAAAATATATCGGTTAATAATTATATTTGCATTCTAAATGTGGCGTATCGCACGCCTTGTTTCAATTAAAATTTTTGAAACATATTTGACTTACAAATTATATAAATATGAATTTATTTTCCACTTATGTCAAATTAACTTATCACTTAATATTCGAAAGTTGAGCTAATAATAATATATTTTTGGTTCTAACAAGACAGTGTATAATAGCTTAAATAACATTTTATACAGTTTAAATTAATAGACAATTTCTCAGTTATTTAAAACTATTAATTTTGATGTCTTGTTATTAATTTCGTGTTAAAATGATTTTACACCTCTTTAGAGCTGTCTGTTTGCGGTGTCAAAGGTCACCATATATATTCCTGAGATGTAATGGTTATGTATTATTGACATTCAAATAAAATATGGACATTATGTTGCTAAATATTTACAAGTAATTTGTAGGTGACAAACCAAGGAGGTCAACATGACAAAGAAATTTGGTTTCAATTATGATTTATATATAAATTACTTCGTCAATACAAGTTTTTCCTGGATTCACGATTGTAGAAGTGTTGAATTAATTTAGTTTATTTATTTTAAATTTCTAAACTGAATTTTGTTCAATTTTTTTGTTATAAAATCTGTAGCTGTGATAATTTTGGACAAAAATGTGTATGAGCAATTTTTTTGTAGCAAAACCGTTCTCTCAGAAATAACGCTTGAAGTGACCGGCGATTTTGAATATCAGTTATGCGCGTGAAATAAATTTTATAAATAAAAGTTTTATCAACTCGACAGTAAAAATTCGATATCTTTTGATTAGAGTATCCTATCGACAAAGTTCAAAATGCGTTTTAAAGGTGAAGACCGCAGCTTTTGCATGCGATTTGAATTTTGTCTTGTAGGCGCTAGAGACTCTTCTGAGCATTTGCTTTGTGAAGTCTCCATTAGCTTGGAGTATTTGACAGTGTTCAGAGTTCCAACCCACACGGCAGAGTAGGTCACCACCGACTGGAAAACTCCATTTAGCGCCCTCCTTTTGGTGGTACCTGGGATTGGCAAAGATCAAAATGCGTTTTAAAGTTCAAGATTGTAAATTTTTCATGCGATTTGAATTTTGTCTTGTAGGCTCGAGAAATCTTCGAGCATTCGTCTTTTGCGAAGTCTCCATTATCTTGGCGTATTTTGCAGTGTTCACTGCGCTACACCACAGGGGGTAGAGTAGGACACCACCGAGTGGAAAACTCTATTTAGCACTCTTCTTTTGGTGATAGCTGGGTCTCCTATGTTCGGCATCAGCTGTACCAACGCGTTCAGACGACTTCGGTTTGCCTTCTTTATCGCCTTTTGGATGTGTAATTCGAACTTTAGTCCTTCCAATAGGCAGACTCGAGATTTAACCACTGTTACCTCTACTTCTTTTACTGCAATAAGAGAATTTGTCTTGGCTTTCTTTGAGGATCGCCACCTCAATTTTCTGAGGTGTTAGCTGTAGAACGATCTGTATAGAGCTGTGTCACAGAGCTGTGCTGTAGTTGTGCCGAGATCATCGATACAAGCTACAAGAGTGCATTCCTTTGATATTTTTATATATAATATATATTATATATATATATATATGTTAGTTTGAAGTGTTTCACGGATGGAGTAATTATGTTGAACAATTATTCCGGGAAAAATATCGTTGGTCATTTTTTAATTAATTAAAAAATGACCAACGGATTATTTTCCCGGAATAATTTTTCAACATATATATATATATATATATATATATATATATATATACTATATATATATATATATATATATATATATATATATATATATATTTTATTATATATAGATATTATATATATAGCCTTAACACCGTCTTACAGGATATTTCACAGTACCGAAGCCGCGGATTACCCTGTGACATGTAACATGATTTTTCACCTGATTGACAAGTATCTGTCAACTACGTTGATTAGGTGCTCACTAACGCCCAATTCTCTCCAGCCTGGACATGATTTATTCCATGATGTAGTGTTTAAGGAATTTTTGACTTCAAGCAGAAATGAAGAAAAAAAAAACCCATCTTTTTGTATCTTATGCGACTAAAATAGTGGACTAAATCTATGGTGAATCTTTTGGCCCTAAAACCATATTGGCAGTCGCCCGCGCATGTTTTTCTTCCAATTCTTGCTTAAGGCAGCCTTTCACAGGTTGTTCGCACAATTTAGCTACCGAATAGGAGGGCAAATGGTCGAAAGCGCACCTCTTCTTAGTCCCCTTTTATCTTCTCGTAAGGATAACCTAGCATCTTCCACCGTGTTATAAACTTCTGTTGTTTGAGTTTTGTTCAGCAATATTAGTAAAATCTGCGAATATCTTATTGCGGTGATTTTTATTGTCCCTGCATCACTATATCTATGCGAGATGCCTTTTTAATCGTCCAATAGCCTTGTCGAGTTCCAACTCAGTAAGGGTTCCACCTCTACGAAACTGGTAACCCTTTTAGGCCTATCCTACACTTGAGAAAAGAGTTCCCGTATTAAATGGACGCTCTCATCTTCAGCAGGAAGTAGAGTGTCTTTTTCCCCTTCAATTCGGTACAACACATTCTTAAATCCATGCCCCCAGATAATGCTTTCGAGATTCTGAAGCAGATAACTTGAACTTTCTCTCTTAGATCTTCTTATCTCATTCCTGTATTAATTTTGCATTTAATTTATTTCATTCATTCTCTTTTTTAAATCACCAGCTGGTACTCTTTTTAACCTATTATATTCCTTCTTACTCCTTATTCATTTGTTCTCAAATGTTCAAACCGCTTATTTTACCAGTATGGTTGTTTCCTTTCATACCTGCAATTTAACCTACAAGCCAACTTCCTGTGCTACACCTTAATCAGCTCAATGACATCCTCGCATTCAAATCAATGTGGTATTCATATACACGAAGCAGGATGTTTAGTAAAACATAGCAATTGTACATCACTAGGTTACCGAGATATACCTTAACATACCCATTCTTAACGGAGTATCTAGTGATGCCAACTCCTGGATTCACCAAGTATATGGCCACATCAGATCTCCTATCTTTAATGATCCTCTGTCTAGAGACCAACTTTACATTGGGCTTCTGAAAGAGGATCTATGTCATAACCTTTTCTTTTTGCCAGTGTCTCTGCAACGTCGTGAGCAGCCCTCTCCCTTTCCAAATTTATTGGTAGAATCTTCATATTAAATGGTTCTTATCTCACTTACTCGTATACTGTCTAATTTTTGGTTCTAGGTGCTTTCAACCTTTCTTTCCTCATCCAATATGATAGGGTCTCTCTTGAGCTCCCGCATTTTTAGAGCAAGTTTTCTATACTCCAGGCATCGTAAGCTGTCGGATTTCTCGTGCTGGTGACCCCCGTAGCCACATCTGTAGCATGAGTTGGTCTTGTTTTCTCTAAACTGCAGACATCTAAAGCATCACTGGACATCGAGTCCCTCTCGTATCCTGCACGGGTTTCAAATGATGGGTATATGTTTTTTTCCAGTGCCTTCTTGGCTGCGATCCGTGTCAGTCCGACCGTGACGTTTGTGTTATTGTCTCTATTTTTGCTCATAAAGACGAGTTTGAGTCATTTTACCGGTATATCGGTGGACCTGCCTCAGGATTTCTTTCTTTGTGACTATCTCCGTATATTACAAATATGTTTACTAAGACCTAACTACAGCTTCGGACGACTTCTACCATGTTTTCTTCTGCACTAGCCACAATAGCCTTCTTTATATATAATTTTGAGATCTAGTAACAAATACAAAACACCTTCAACTATAAATTCCACCTTATGCTGTTTTCGTGGAGCATTGCGTGATATTAGATCTTTTGTAATGTGAATGATCTTTTGTTTGTGTTTTATTGCTATTGCTGATATTTTTATTGTTTCGTTATGTTATTTCTCACAAGTCTCTATTTTGCTCTACAATCTATATAGTTCCTATTTCTTGTATTTAAAGATGTTCTTCTTAGAGTGCCATATCCCTACGGAACATCGGCGACTACCTGCTTATAATATTGTTATACTGATCTCGTCTTGCGCTACGTGTAGCAGTTGGTCCACTGTCAACTGTTCACTGCCCAAATTCCTCAACCAAGAGAGTTTCTTCTGTCCTATCCATTTCTTTCCTTCGATTTTACCGTTGAGAATTAGCCGAAGGAATCATATCTTGGTCCTCTAATTATATGTCCAAGATATTCTAGTTTCGCCTCTTAATAATATTGAATAAATTCGTCGTATTTAAAGATATTCAATACCCATTTGAACTAAATTTCTTGCTTTCCATAAAATCGTTGTTTTCTTTTTTGCATTGTTCGTTGTCGTTAAATAATTTCTATTCTGAAGTAAACTCCTGCTTCTATGAGCTGTATGGGTATAAAGTCTATCAGTAGGCTGCTAAACTGTATATAAACGCCCTCCTTCTTTATCCGGGCTTGTGACCGGAACAGTTCTATCGAACTACTCGATCCACCCAACAAAACTGCAACCGGAGTTAAAAAAAAATGGTTAACAAATTATTTTCATCTTTTTTTAAATTATTTATACATTACAAACCTATAGGATTCAATAAAGTCATTTTAAATATGGTTACATTATTACGTTTTCAATATTATTTAACAAAACCAAAAATTGATAAATACATCGGATTTTTTTATTTATTTGCAGCTGCTCTACAAAACCCCAATCCTCAACTATACAAATCAAGTACTTTCCGTTCAGAATATGCTTCAAGTACTCCCAAAATAAACAACTATCAACAGTCGAAATCTTCCACAACTATAAGAAATTACTTCATTCCTTCGGTAAAATCACCACAACTTAATCAACAAAGCCAATATGACGACGACGATGACGACGAGGATGAGATGATGACGACGTCGAGGAACTACAAACAGAGAAAGATCGACAGAGAATAAAATTACCTCTTCCAATATTGCCAACTTTGTCACCTCTAACATTTAGCTCACCTGCGCCATTTTCTCTACAACAGAGGAATGAACAAAAAAGGTAGGTATAAAAATTTTACATTTTATTACATTTTTAAATATGTTTTGTTAGCATGACTGATATGTTAATTCCTTAAATTCTTTAATTTTAGGCGTGTCTTTAAAATTAGTGCTTTTTATAGTTAGACCTTACAATATCTATCTGCAACTAATAAAATAAACTAGTTATATGCACTGTCCCTCCAAAAGACTAAAATCACCAAAGGTTATGAAACCAAAATAACTAAAAATTATAATAAAAGATTTAAACAAAAATGTAGTATTTTTGTATTGCAGTAAACTAAAAATATAGACCAAGAAATGCTTGTTTATCATTTATAATACTGTACAAGTCAAACTCTATCAAAAGGCCAACTTTTCACAGATTGCATCTAAACAAGAAAAAATCTCTTCTCATTGGAACAATGCAATCCTTGTCTTATTATAAAAGAAAGGAGATCTAAAATACCTAAAGAACAAGATGGATTTACAAGAATGCAATAGAAACCTCTGTTTCTATTGCATTTGCAATCTCTCAAAAGCATTGAGAGATTGCTGAATAGACCATTACTACACTAACATAATCAAATATATCTTACCAAAATGTCACGGCTAGCGTAGGACTATCTAAACACGAAACAAAAAAATCTCTCCAAAGGTATTTCACGACGCTTTTAGAAGATCTGAACGAGTCTGGTCATGTCATTATAAATGAAGAGAAGCTCAGTCATTTAATATTCGCAGATGGTTAATCGTTCTTATAGCTGCCATCGATGGTTGATGCCTAATATTAATGTTTGAACAATTATATCCACTATTCCTTTGAAGGGTCGGATGTTAAAGAGTATAACCATGAACATGACGCCTAAAAACTGTCCAATTATTGGTAAATGGAAAGAGTGACTATATACAATAAAAAAATGAAATACATAAAGAAGCTCAAGTAGAAAAGCAGAAAAAATAGTGTGATACGTATCCAAAGAGAAGGTATGGTCCCCAATAAACAACTAAAGTAAATTGGACGACTTTGTTTATTTTCCAACATAGAACCCATAGATATAACTATAAATTTAGGCAAACCAACATTTACTTTACACAATTTTTTGCTCTTGGCTATGAGTCAAGTTCATATTTTTCCGTTAAAAGTTTGCAAAAATGGGTGCAGCGGCTTTTCAATTTCTTCCTTATCGGGTTGGCGTAGAATCTGTCACCCAACTGAAAGTGTGTTGTGATACAGCAGTGGCGAAAAATGTGTCTTTCTGAAGAACTGTTTACTTCTTCCCTTAGAGTGTGCCGTCTCCCTACGGAGGTTGGCAATCATAATGGCTATTTTTATTTTAGAACTTGCTGCTCTAAACAAATCAATCGATCTGCATTGGTACCAATCACGTAGATTCTTTAACCATGAGTTCTGCCTTCGGCCAACAGATCTTCTTCCTTGAATCTTTCCCTGTATTATCAGTCTCAAAATTTCATATTTTGGTCCCCTCATCACGTGGCCTAGGTATTCAGTTTTCTGGTTTGTATAGTGGTGATTAGTTCTGTTTCTTTACCAACCCTCTCCAGTACTTCTTTATTTGTAATTCTATCAGTCCATGATATTTTCAATACTCTGCGGTATAACCAGAGTTCGAAGGCCTCGATTCTTTTTAAATTACATTTTTTTAATGTCCAAGTCTCAGCTCCATATAATAATATTGAAAATATATAACAGCGAATGGTACGTAGTCTGATCTCCAAATTTAGATTTTTGCACGTTAGGAGTGGCTTCATTCGTATAAATGCTGATCTGGCAATCTCTATTCGTCTGTTTATTTCTACAGTATGATCATTGGTTTCATTGATCAAAGTTCCCAAATACTGATATTTTTCTACTTGTTCTATCACGTTACCATTTATTGTCAATAGGTGATGTATATTTTGTGGCCTTTTTGTAATCAGCATGTACTTCGTTTTTTTGGCGTTTATAGTAATTCCCATCTCAGCACTATTTATACTCAAGCTTTCGATAAGATGTTGTAGATCCTCTATACTCGTTGCTATGATCACAGTGTCGTCTGCATATCTTAAATTATTAATTAATTTTCCGTTAACGGTGACTCCCGCTTCGATATTATTGAGCGTGTTTTGGAAAATTTCTTCAGAATATAAGTTAAACAAAAGTGGTGATAACACACATCCCTGTCTAACTCCTCTACAGATCTCATTTCTTCTGAGTGTTGCCCATCAATTTGAACTATGGCACTTTGGTTCCAATATAATGTTTGCACTATATTTATGATTTTACTGTCAATGCGCTTGTTCATAAGTATTGATATTAGTTTTTCATGTCTTACTTTATCGAAAGCTTTTCGTAGTCAACGAAGCACAAGTGTAGATCAACATTCACATCCCGACATCGCTGAATTAATATGTTGATGGCAAATAGTCCTTCTCGAGTACCCATTCCATTTCGGAACCCGAACTGCGTCTCGCTAATATCCTCCTCTAGCCTTTCGTATATTCTCTTATGTATTATTTTTAGCAGAACTTTTAAAGTATGACTCATGAGGCTCAGTGTTCGATAATCAGAGCACTCTTTTGCTGCTTGTTTTTTAGGGATGGTTATAAATGCTGACTTTAGCCACTCCTGTGGTATTATTCCCGTATCGTACACCGTGTTGAATAAATCTGCCAATACTTCCAAGTTGTCCTCTTCCACTAGTTTTAAGAGTTCTACTGGTATTTCATCTAATCCAGCTGCCTTATTGTCTTTAGAGTTTTTGATAGCATATTTGATTTCATCTATCGTGATCTTCTGTATCTCTAAAGGATTTAATTCTTGTATTTTCTGCATTTCACCTCTTTCATCTTGGAAAAGTTCTCTAACGTACTCCTCCCATCGCCTTAACTTCTCTGGTAAATCTACTAGTAGTACTCCTTTTTTGTCTTTTATGTGTCCTTGCTGTCTATTTCGACCCATTCCAGTCACTTCTCTAATTTTTTGTGCATATTTCTCATATCATATTTTGTTTCTAGTTTTCTATCTCTTTACATTGCTTCATCAAATAGATTTCTTAGCTGTTTTGATTTTTTCCTTAATTATTCGTTGTATTTCTTTATACTTCTGTAGATCTTTTCTTTATATTTCCTTCTTTCTTCCATCAGTAATAGTATTTCTTCTGTCATCCAGTGTTTTTTAGCCTCTGATTTATGTTCTATTAAACTTTCTTGAGCTGGTTTCAGTAATGTGTTTTTTATATTACACCACTTTTTATTTACATCCATAATTTGTTTGTTGTCAGTTAGTGTTTTTTGCATATTAACATTCACATTATTTTTTATTTCGTTTTTTATTTCTTCGTTTTGTAGCATTCTTACGTTAATTTTTGGTTGTTGTTTTCTGAGTTCAATTCTTTTTAATTTTATTTTCACGTCAGCCACTAGCGGATTGTGGTCTGAGTTAACATCTGCTCCAGGATAAGTTTTAACTGAGGTTATAGAGTTTTTATATCTGCTATTTACGAGTATAAAGTCTATCTGGTTTCTGACAATGTGGTTTTCTGTATGTGAAGGAGACGTCCATGTATATAGTCTTCTTTTAGGAAGCTGAAACCAAGTATTGGCAATTACCATATTCTTTTCTTGGCAGAATTCTATGAGCCTTTCTCCTCTCTCGTTTCTAGTTCCTAGTCCGAACTGTCCAACTATATTTTCAACTGTACCTACTCCAATTTTTGCATTAAAATCTCCTAAAATGTAAGTAATATCTCTAGATTTTGTTAACTTGATTGTATTGTGCAATTCTAATAAAAGTTTTCGATCTCATCTTCGGTCTTATCAGCAGTGGGAGCGTAAACTTGGATCATATTAATATTACAGTTCCGTGCTTGAATTTTACTGTTCACTAATCCATTCTAATGCCCACCAACAGCACAGAGCAAACCAATAATCTCGATAATATATCATTTGGTTCTAGTTTGACATATTTTTTTGTTTAATAATGCATCAACCACGCAGTGTCATTAGCGTATTAAGACTACATGGATATCTGTTCATTCTTAGACTTCATTTTAAGCAAATTGGACAATATGGCTTCCTTTTTTCTTGGTTACCTTTCTGTACATCTAATCGTGCACCCTGCAAAATTGTATATGAGTATGTTATGTGAAAAAAAACTTCTTTTCTCGCCACAGAATTTTATTATTATCTTTCCTGAAAAAATTCAGGTTAGGGTGATCTCTGTCCCGCAAAATCTAAAAAACTGTCTCAAAATCTTAATATCAAATAATAACAACCTGTCCTAATATGCAGCTCATAAGTATATCTTTAATAATAATAAACAGGAAACAAATAACTTATTGAAAGGCACTATAATCTATCATACTAACAGCTCTTCTGGCAGTGTTGACGTATTCATTGCCATGAAAACGGTCATATTTTCGTTTGTTCTGCTTTCAAGTATCAGGTTGCATCTTTCGCTTTTTAATGGTTCTCTCAAGAGAACTATCACTATCACTACTGCTTATACTAAACATAATGCGACGACGTAATGCCATTGTGAGCGAAAGAACAGTATTCTTTTGCCCAGTGATGCGTTAACCTACACTGCGTTTTTTTGGCTCATCAAGTTCAAATGTCGTTTTTGTGACGCTTATATGAGTCTTTCACTCACCGATTCAATTACAAAATAATAAAGATTATATTTTTTTATACTAACATCTATTTTATATTAACCAGACTATTATAATTAATTTTTGGATTTTTGTGTGTATTTTTGTA